CCATTTTACAGAGAGGGAAACAAGTCAGAAAGAGATGAAGGGCAAAAGTATCTACCTATTTTGGGTGCTCAATTTGACACACCTAGGATCTGATATTTCACTATATGTTATATAACACTGGTATGTTTCAAGAATAATTCTCTCAGGGTATGTCTACACTACCCCGCTAGTTCGAACTAGCAGGGGTAATGTAGTCATCCGCAGTTGCAAATGAAGCCCAGGATTTGAATTTCCCGGGCTTCATTTGCATGAAGCCGGCCGGCGCCATTTTTAAATGCCGGCTAAGTCGAATCCCGTGACGCGCGGCTAGATGCGGCACGGACTAGCTACAGGCAGTCCCCATGGAACGAGGTGTACAGCTAGTTCGGATTAGAAGCATAATCCGAACTAGCTAGTCCGTGCCGCGTCTAGCCGCGCGGCATGGGGTTCGAACAAGCCGGCATTTAAAAATGGCGCCAGCCGGCTTCATGCAAATGAAGCCCGGGAAATTCAAATCCCGGGCTTCATTTGCAACTGTGGATGACTACATTACCCCTGCTAGTTCGAACTAGTGGGGTAGTGTAGACATACCCTGATTGACTTCAGTTGCAGTTATGAGTTTTCAGCACTTCTGCAAACCCATTCCCTTAGTCTCAAAGCAAGCACTCAGAAACTGAGAAATGCACAGAAGTCAGTTACAAGCTGGCAGTTCACATAAACATTTTGGGCTTTTATTAAAAGGTCAAATTTACCAGATACTTTAACTGCGTGTGCATGCATCACAGTCATTATGTCTGCAAAGAATGAAGTGCTATACACTGAATCAGTTCCCACATTCCAGAAGAGGTGATGGCACATGCTACCACCCTTATACAAACACAGCTATATATTTTGCACATTTCTGCTTCTGTTTGCTTTGCATGCAATGAAGCTTCCTCTGGGACTGAAAAGCTGCACATTATTTCCCCTACTGTTAATTATGCACCTTAAGCACCACAGCAGGTTACCGTATTTTCCGGCGTATAGGGCGACTGGGCGTATAAGACGACCCCCTATCTTTTTAATTAAAAGATAGGGTTTCATCTTATACCCCAGCGCCCTTCCGCCTCCTTTGCTCCCGGTGTCCCTGGTCTGCTGGAGATGGTCCCCAGCAGACCAGAGGCACCGGGAGCAAAGCCGCCAGGAGCGCCTGGGGTGCCCCCCCGCCGGCTTCCCCCGAGGCTTTCAAAGCCGCGGAGGGGCTCCGGCGGGGGAGCCCCCAGCTGATTCCAGGCTCCACATGGCACTGCTGCTTTCAAGCTGCCGGCTTCCCCCGAGGCTTTGAAAGCCGCGGAGGGGCTCCGGCGGGCGGGCAGCCCATGCGCGCCTGGGATGCCCCCCCGCCGGCTTCCCCCGAGGCTTTCAAAGCCGCGGAGGGGCTCCGGCGGCGGGGCATCCGGCGTACAAGACGACCCCCGATTTTTGGGGGATGTTTTTTAACTTCAGAGGTCGTCTTGTACGCCGGAATATACGGTACTTGGTTTGCTTAATTTTGTACCCTAAATTTCATGCAAATCATTGGCAGTGAGGGAATCAGCAGTCGACTCCGTAGATGTGGTTAAACTCAGGCACTGCTCTCCACTTACCCGTACCTTAGCACAAGCAGGACCCCAAAACCCAGTGAATTAAAATTCAGTTTCCAATTCCCCTGTATAAATGTAACCTGTCAGGGGAAACACAGGTTCTTTAATAATTACAATGTGTTTTGTATATGACACACATTTTAATTATTTACACTTTTTATACACGTGTATCATTGTAGAACCCCAAATGTGCAAAGTGGTATATAAAAACCACAGGAAGATACAGCCATTCACAAAGTGTTTATAAGCTAAGGAAAACACACAAGATGAAACAGAATACTTATGATATTGTTAGGTACAAATCCTGTTACTTTTTTCCCTCTGCCCCTGCCCCTTTTCCCTATTATGTCTCTCACTCTTCTCCAATTAGCTCTCTATTCCCTCTTCCTCTCCAACCAGCAGCTCCTTTGTATTCTCCCTGCCACCTTGCACGCACCTTAGAGAATAAAATTAGGCACAAATTGAGATCTTGGGTCTAAGGAAAGAAGGAACATATCAGCCAGTGAAAGGGTGTGCAAATAGGGCCATCTTCCCCTAGGCCAGTCTCCCATCTACCCTCGGTTATAACCAGCCGGTGATGCTGCTCCCTGTCTTCCTTACCCTCCAGACAAGGATTGTGAGAGTCAGACTTTCCTGCTTCAGATCAAGTTCCCTGTAAGCAAGGGCCTCTGCATTACCATTATTTCATGATATTGCCGTAACATTACTGCTTATTAGTGGTATCATTAGTCAGTGCCTAGACACCCCATTGCACTAGGTACAATTCTAAAACTGCTCTTGCCTAGAAAAGTTTACAATTTAAATAGCAAGACAGACACAGGGAAGCACAGACAGCTTGCCCACCATCACATACATGTCAGTATTCAGAATCAAGGTTACATCTCTGGAGATATTTAAGAGTAGGTTAGATAAATGTCTATCAAGGATGGTCTAGACAGTACTGGGTCCTGCCATGAAGGCAGGGGACTGGACTCGATGACCTCTCGAGGTCCCTTCCAGTCCTAGTGTTCTACGATTCCATGATTCTAACTCAGGTCCCCAGTATGCTCTTTGGAAATGACTTCATATTTCCACGTCAAACTGCATACTAATAGAACAGTACACAACCATATAAATCTTACCTATAATCGATATAGGCTTTCTGGCAAAACGCAGTCTTCCCTTAAAGCCAACATATTTACTTCTGCAACCAGCAGACCATAGCCGCACCAAATATTCAGCACCAAAAAATACCACCAGAACAATTTCCTGTTGGAATGAAAAGAAAAAAAAACAATTAACCCCTTGATTTACATTTTCCATTTCTTTCCCATGACTTGTCAAGCCACCTCCAGAAAACCAAAAAGTCAAAAGTAACAAAGCTGCATATTAATTTTTTAAGAGGGGAAACTTTAATAATTGAGCACACTGCCAGCAAAATATTAATGGAGTAAGGTACAGATGAAAATAGAAAATTGAGAGCTAAGTGTTATTCTTCTAATCCCACTAGACACAATAGTAGGGTGTTCTGAGGGCAATCACAGTAAAGTTTCTTCCTCTGTTTAGTTACTGCTCCTAAAAGTTCAGAACAGAGGGATGAAAAATGGAAAACAGATGTATTTATAAGATTAGAAAAAAGTATAAGCTAAGAAACATACGGATTTTAAGGACCACATCAACATAACTGAAGTTTAACTTCTGTATATGCAGGAAAATAAAGTACATTAGGTATGTCTACACCAGCGGTTCTCAAACTTTTGGGGCTCCAGAGCCCTTTAAAGGCCTAAAAATTATGCGGAGCCCCAGCGGTCCACTGATTGTACATGTTGTACCTATCAATGTTTCCAGTTTGTCAACCTTGTGGAGCCCCTGGAGATGTCTCGAGGAGCCCCAGGGGTTCCGCGGAGCACAGTTTGAGAAACACGGGTCTAAACAGCAAAGTTATTTAAAAAATAAAAGCAGTTATTTTGAAATAACTTTCCTAGCATCTACACAGCCATTCCGTTATTTCAAAATTAATTTGAAATAGCATAGGACTTATTTCAAAATTGGTAAACCTTATTCCATGAGGAATAGCGCCAATTTTGAAATTACTATTTCAAAATAAGAGCTGTGTAGACGCTTATTTCAAAGTAGAGGCCCTCCAGCCCTTCCCAGGGTGCTCTGCTTGCCACTCTGGCCCCAACCAGGAAAACTCCTCTCCCTCCCCACCTCCACAGAGCCCTTAAAAGGGTAGAGTCTGCCCACAGTGCCTGTGCCAGATCCAGACCTGCCAGCCCAGAGCCAGCAGTCACTGCCCCTGACCCAGTGGCCCCAAAAAATGAGCCAGCAAGCCACTAGCAGCCAACCCTCCACCACTCCCCAGGAGCCTGCCACGGCCCAGAGAAGTCAGGAGCCTTCCTGATCCAGGGTGGAGATCGTGGACCTTATTCAGGTTTGGGGGGGATGCCCCCAATGTCCATGATTTCCGCACTAGATGGAGGAACGCAGCCATCTATGGCAGGATAGCTACCAAAGGCCACATGTGAACCCAGGAGCAGGTTTGCATGAAAATCAAGTTAGTCGGGCGAGACCCCCGATCCTGAGCCCTGAGCTTCCCCTCCCCCTTTTTCCCCTTGATTCCCCCTTCCAGCTCCCTCCTCCCAGGTTTCCCCCTCCCCTCTCTCCTCCCCTCTCCCGCCTCCTTTCCATAGTCTCACCAGAGTTTCATCTGCCCCTCCTTCCCAGTTTTGTTAAATTAAGAGAGTTTGTGTTCATAAAAATACTCCACATGGTCATCAGCCCTGGGGCAGAGGTCCCTGACATCGAGGAGGAGGAGGAGGAGGAGGAGAGCCAGGAGCCAGAGGAGGCCATCCTCACCACCCAGATGAGCCAAGACCCCCGAGCTGCCCCAGCGGACCTGTCGCCAGTGTCATCTCAGTCCAGGGAGGCAACATGTGACAGCCATCACTGTCCCCTTATGCGGGGGAGGGAGGGAAGGAGACGGAAGCTAGGGACTGCACGTGTGGGCCTTGCTGTCCAGGGATCACACAGCAACCTGTGCATGTGCGAGCATGTGCCATGCCACCCCTGGGCATGTGGCCCCAGCTGGCTGCCACACAGGAGCCTTACCCTGTTAGCCACACACATGTGTGAGGAAGCATGACATTCTCCTGACTCCGGGATGGGACACAGCAGGACGCCCTCCCTCCATAAGGCCACTCTACACAGGCAGGTGACATCTCCCCCCCTCTCCCACACACACACTATATACACCACAGGGGCACGGGTGTGGTCTTGAGGCAGCTTCCACTCCCAGGGATAGCAGGAATTTCTGAACATGGCCTGTGTGCAAGCACATTGGCTCTGATAGTGCAGGGAATGGTCATCCTCACCTCGCAGAGAGGGGCTGGGCTTCACCCACTGTGTCCCCAGGGATAACTGACCACTTCTCTTGTTTCTCCACAGCTGCGCCAGCTGTGCATGCAGGGCGCACCACACCACCCAGATCATGCCCCTGCACCCGAGGGCTCTGCACGACCACCCATGCAGTGGAGGGGTACCAACAGCAGCACATGGGGGCAATGCAAGCTCTGCACCTCACCCTCCAGCACTGGGTGCAAGAAGACCTGCAGCTCGGGCGGGAGCAGCTTGTCCAGGGCCGTGCCATTTGCCAGCACCCGCAGACCCTGGTGCAGAGCGTGCTGCCTCCTGCCACTCCAGTGCTTGCTGCCTCCCCAGCTACCACTCCTCTTCCCGCTCCTTCTCCCCCTCCTGCTTCTCCCTCCCCACTCCCCCGGGGACAATGAGGCCCCCACACCCGTGGTGCTGGGAGACAGTTGGCCCAGCAAGACCCCCAACCCTGAGCTTCCCCTCCCCCTTCTTCCTCTTGCTTCCCCCTTCCAGCTCCCTCCTCCTAGGTTTCCCCCTCCCCTCTCCCATCCTCTCTCCTTCCTTCTCCCTAGAGGCGTAGTGAAGGGGGGGCAATTGCCCCCAGGCACCACACTGGGGGGGCGCCGGGCCGGGGTGAGAGCGAGCGCACACTGCACAGGCTCACCTGGCATGGGCAGCGAGTTATATGGCCGTCTCCACCCCCCGGCCCCGGACCGTCCCTGCCATGCGCAGCGTTCAGTTGGCTCCCCCTTGCTCGCGCACGCTGCCAGCTGCTGCTGCTGCTGCCGCCATGTGCAACGTTTCCGGGTGACCGGGGAGATGCCTGGGCATGATGTGACATCATGGCCCAGGACTTTAAAAGTGTTCGGTGCCACATGGTGCCGCGCAGCCTAGCTTCCAGTTCGGAGTCTGGGGATTTCTGGGGCCAGATGGAGAGGGGATGGAAGCCAGATCCAAGATCAATGAGCCCTGGGAAGTGGGCCCATTGAAAGGAGACTGGACCTGTGGATGCCTTGGGGGTCAGCAGCAAGAGCCTGCTTTGGGAAGCCCCCTCTTTGGAGGTGAATGTGGCAGTATCGAGACACCACCCAGAAGCCAGTGCCACGGACACTAACTGCAGATTCATGGGACGGCTCTCATAGATCTTGCACATGCATAAGATGATAGATCTGCCGGGGGAGGGGGGCAGTGGCATAGCAAGGGGGCCGGAGGGGTCAGTTGCTCCTGGGCACCATGCTAGGGAGGTGCCAATGTAATCCCATTCTGCTCCCCCCGTTATCCCTTCAGCTCACGTGCTCCTACTCCACCTGCCACCGGCAGCTGGAGCCTCCTCCCTGCCTCTCTGCTCCAAGCCCGACCCTCCTCCATCTCCACTGGCGGGTTAGTGCATGCAGGGGTCCGGCCCCAAACTGGAGGGGGTGGGAGAAGATGTGGTACAAGTTCCCCTGAGCTGTGCACCAGGTTCGGGGCCGTGCCACATGGTGGCTGGGGGGGGGGGGGCCCTTTTTTCTTTTTCCCCCGGCGGAAAAAACCCCGCGACTGCCCCGCTGTTCTTCAGAGTTTCATCCCCATCCCCCATTTTGTTAAATAAAGAGAGTTTGTGTTCATGAAAATACGTGTATTTTATTTGACATCAGGAAGGGGAGTTAGGGAGGGTTAAGTGGAAGGACGTGAGGGAGGAATGAGGCACAAGCCCCCAGTGGGGCAGAGCAGGGAGACTGTTAGTGCTCCTCAGGGTGGAAGCTCGCCCACAGGGCCTCCTGGAAACTGACAGCCCCCCGATGGATCTCCTGGATGGCAGGCTGAAGAAAGTGCAGCCAGGCTCACAGCAACGTATCCAAGAGAAGCACCAGAGTGCCCAGGGTCAGCTCTGGCTCCATGTTGCACAGTGCTGTGGTGTCCCGAGTGAGGGCAACTAGAGCACTACAAGACACAAATGTTTTGCTGTCCCTCATCGAGGCAGGCAAGCAAGCAGGGACACCTGAGAACCAGCTGTCCGGGGGTGAGGGGTCCCTTTAATCACAGGCCTCATATAGCCTCAGGCAGCGGCCACACAAAGTAACTCCTGACTTGATGCCCTGCCGGAACCGGTTCCCACCAGCCTT